TAAGGCAGGCTCCATTATAAGGCAGGCTCCATTATAAGGCAGGCTCCCTCCACTCCAGTTGTGGCACCTTGGACTGTACTCAGATGTAGTTGGAGGGAAAAGAAGAAGAAACCTGCTGGTAGCACCTAGGTGGCAAGTGTGAAACTTCACTGTAAATACATTATCACATTTTAAAATATATATTAATGTTTTATCATTAGCTGCATGACTGACTGTCAATTAGTTGCAATATAAGAATGAAACTCAAGAGGCTAGCCATCCTTAGTACCATACAATGTTCTACTATGTCTGATTGATCGTTATTCTTTCTGTAATGTCCATGCTAACAAGATACTTTATTATGATTGAATCAGATGTTGTGAAAGCATCCATCAGTTTATGATCTTAAGTCTTATTAAACGATAGGAAATGCAGAAAAGTACTGTTAAGCTGCACTTACAGTTGGGATTAAACAGTGGAAGCAGGTCTCTGTAGCATCAAAACATTTACAGTCATTGAAGGAGGGCCACACAACTCAGTACTGTTCAAAGAAGTTCCCACAGAGGTCCAGCCTGGGGTCGCTTTAGTTGACACTGCTGCACGGTAGTTCCTTCTGATGGACATCCTCATGTCCCTAATTGGCGCAATGTTGTACTGTCAAAGATCCTCATCATCTGTCACATAGCCTTGTTGTGTCCACCAGTTTTGTGGGGCAAAATTTTCCAAGGATTAAGCAGTATCATTTGTCTGTACTGTATGGCCACAAAGCTCTTCCCGACCCTTACCTAGTCTGACTTACCCGGGAACATTTGTTGAGGAGTCACCCTATAGCCCTCAATGGCCCTAAATATCAGAGGAAATTGCTGCACTATAGATGCAGTGGACATTACAACATTGTGTTCTACTATCTTTAAACAGAGTACAATACCACTGTCCCTCATCCACACAGCATTCCATGGATGACAAGCAACTGTGACTCTCCGGTATTTCATCGCATTAGGAAGGCATCTGTGGCTGCAGATTGACATTAGGAGACTACACAACATCCACTAGAGATTGATGCTGGTTCCAGGTTTCCAGATGCTTGTGTTTCTCATCCATCCTGTGGACGCTTTCAATGCCGTGGACACAGGGAGGTCAACAGCTCGTGTGTCTGGATCCTTTGGGAATGTTCATATGAATGTGGCAATATCAGAAATAAAATGAGCTTCTCAATAATATAGTCTTTCAGCACTTGCAGCACACACAAACACTATTCAAATAGTGCACATGAAGGCCTCTGACAAGGAAGGCAATGGGATGTCTCTATGTGGATCTTTCACATTGTTACCTGATTCAGATGTATGCTGCTTAAGCCATATGGAATACACGTGGTGGGTGACTCTAAATGAGGTAATAATAATAAAGGTTCCTTTCCTCACCCTCAGCTGACACAGTACCCAAGAAAGGTAGCATTCCATATAAGCTAAAGGTGTGAATATTTTACAATTTAAGGTGTGAAATGTACAGCTTCCGGATCTTGTGCAAACTATAACACGATGGAGGGTGATTATGAATTGTGGAACAAAGGTGAAATTTTACAGTTCACCTGATATTATTTGTGTTTCACAAGCTTTACTAGGATTTATTTTAAATGTTAGATGAGATGGCCAAGTTTGTGGCCAGACTTTTAGTCTAGACGGTTCACATCCAGAATTCAGTGATACGAGATGTCTTTAAACTGTGTGTTTGTTTAATGCCATTGTCCCTTGACAGGCCTCACCTCACTCACAAGTGGAGGCCTGTCCCTCACAGATTAAAGAATCACACCTGCTGACTCTGGATATGGGGGCATTGAGCACACAACTGTCGACCATCCCACTGTCCACCTTTGTCCTTGTGATGTTGTGTGACGAGACTGAAGGAGGCATTGAGTGTGATTAAAATGTTTGTAAGGGCTGTTAGCGGGTGTTGAAAGGATTCCCACTGAGTGAGTAGGAAGTTCAGATGGCAGGAACGTGGTTAATAGTTTGGGAGGACGAGAACCATTGATTGGAGATCTGTCATGCACTAGTCGGAGTTGATGACTTGGTGGGAGTTGTGTACAGTGTCAAAGTTAGAGTGAGTGTAAGATAGGAGACAGAAAACTGCACTTATCCTTAGGGTATTTCTGGGCATTTCTTTCACCTGGGATACCAAACTGACCTAGATTGTTTCCTCTGTCCAAGATGGCTACATATAGTGGTGTGACCTCCTTTCTATGTCTGGATGAAAGAGCACTACACTTCTGCTGACCACCCCATCCACCAAGACCTCTAGGTCCTTGTTGGACAAACAGGGTGTTAGCTTCCCTTTCTGGAGCATATCTTTAATGATAAATGCTGAGAACAACATTGTCAAGGGTAGTTTGTGTTGTCAAGGGTAGTTCCTGGCTCCAAGTATTTGAAATGATGCTCAGCTGAGGTTGAAATATGGTGCCCGAGGCGCAATTTGTTGGATGTTCCAGCAGTAGTAACCAATTCTACCTCATTACGTCACAAGTGAATAAGACAGATTGGATAAGTAACTAATGATGTGAGCAGTGGAAAATTGCATAAGTGAAGTCACCATCAGCTATGGCAGGAAGCCCTCCATGAAACATCTTAAAACAGCACAGCCAAAACATTTTAGAAACTCAGTCCATTAAGACAAGATTCAGTCCCTCATTCCCTTTCTTCTGAAGGCTGCAATTAGAATATGGTTTCACAGCCAGCAGTAACATTTTGCAATGTCAGTCTATTAGCCATGCTGGCTGCTTTTGTAATTCAGACAAATACAAAACTGAAAAAGGTCAAAAACAAATTAAATTAAACGCATTCAACAAAGTTCAAACATTTTAAAAATTCCATCATGGTGATCAATTTGAAACAGATAATTTTAAGTAATAATCTTCTATACACCCATTTGGCATGCCTACCGTGCTGAGTATGCAGTTTCAAAGTAAACTATGCTCATATATTGTCACTGACAGCCTCCATCAATTCTGGCATGGTGTGACTATAAACTAATGGATAACCCTTGTGTCAGTAAAGCACAAAGTCTATTTATGAGACCATCCTCTCAATTCCCAGCCTCCCCCCACTCCACCACATTACAGTACTGGTTCAACAGTAAAAATAAAACATTTGTGTACAGAATGTCCCTTACTGTTTCAATGCAAAATATGTTTAGATGTGAAGGGATTTTTCTTAATGCATGCTCTCTTGTGAGACAACAATGCACATTGGAAATTTTAGTACAGATTCATGACTGTAATGAATATCTAACTATAAATTGCAATTCAAAAGAAAATAAAAATGCTTACGTTGAAAAGGCATTGTTCTGTTTTTCACACCTTATTCCTTTGCAATTATTTGGTTCCTCTGCAGCATTTGTCTCATAGTAAAAGTATAATTGATTCAGACCATTCGCAAAAGCTAGTAGCACCAGACAGTATATGAATAAAAACTTCAGAATATCCAACAGCATACGTCCAAGAGATATTTGGAGAGGTCCCAGATGAGAATTAGCAGTGAAAAGTGAAATTAGGCGAAGGGAACTGAAGATGTTTGCAATAGCAAATAATGCTTCAGCAACTAGGGTGGGATGCCACATTTCCCAGTCCTCCCGTTGACGTGAACCACTGTACTTTAAACAAAATAACAGTGTCAGTATAAAACACATACCAACTTCGATCAGCTTGATAAAAGGTCAATGACTATTTATCAGTCCCAAAAATAAAATAGTCCATTGTACAAATCAGAAAATGATCGTAATAATCTCTGTTTAGAGAAACGCTTGTTTTGTTTTACTGACTTATGCAGTCTAAATATAAAGTCTACAGTTATTAGCATATATTAGATATCAATTTCAAAATACAAGAACATAATGATTTGCAGCTAAATTATTGTCATCGACGCGATCATCAAACCACAAATGACAAACTCAACGACTGCCTTCTCTTACTGTTTCACTGATGTATTGCAACAGCTGTTAAGCGTAGTATCTGGGTGCTTACAGGTACTGTATGATATATAGATTGTATTTTTAGAGATTTTTAAATTCAAAAAGATATCTTATTTCTTTGAAAGCATAATGATTACTGCTGTGAAAATCATTGTTTTTAATTGATCTGGAAATGATGTGTGGGGTAATCTTTTCTTCAAACTCCTATTCAATTACAGGATGCTGTTGAGTTAAAGATTGAAAATAGAGCTCAAAATAAGCATTTGATAGATACAAAGTATTTGATTTTGCAGAAGTATAATTCTATATTTTGATAGATAGTTTTGAGCAGGACTACTTAATCTGGTTACTTATAATGTTTTAGAAATTTAAAACTGTTCAGCAAAGCTGCTTAAACTATACATTTTGTCAAAGAACGATAAAGCAATGTTGAATATACAAATGTCGGTTCAAAATTTCCATAAAATAAGAATTGAAATGCTTGTGTTTAAAATTATATTTGCACACCAAGAATTACATTTAAACACCTCATGAGCTAACATATCCTCAGCTTTATAATGTGATCCAGTTCATTATTAAAGCTTATATAAATAATCATGGTTTATTACAAACTAAAGCTAAGATTTAAGTATTTGCATGTGGCGAGGTATATCACATATTGTGAGTATATACGGGCTAAGTACAGAAGGGCTATCCTCAAAGCTTGAAAACCTAGTTGTGGTAAAAGTAGAAACCCACAGATGGAAATACACAGTGCTTCATTTTTTTGCGCCTGAATCTACTAGAAATGTTTCCTAGTCAACTGAGCATGATGGGTAATGCTCAATGTTACTAGCAAAGAAAAATTTCACATTCTTTGCAGTTTATCCTTCTCTCTTTCTGCCTTCTTCTTATCATGTCTATTATTAATGTTTCTCATTTCACTTTTATTTACAAATGCCCATTCTTTACATCTGTATTCTCTTCTTCACCTGTTACTTTCAGGTGTTTCTTTCTCACCTTTCAGCTGTTTTATTTTTCCTCTTTTCAATTCCATTTCCTCACCTTGTTTTGTTTTTATATTCCTTGCACTACAGCTCCTCTTTGATTCCAGTTTTTATTTGTTCTCTACTAAAATTCCCACTTTCACCTGTTTCTTTATTGCACTTGCCCTTTCCTCTTTGTTTTACGTATCACCAAGATAAATTAAACAAGTGTTTTGGTGCTTTGATTTATTTTTATTACCCCATTTGTAACCTTGCTGGAATCAGTATTTTCACTCAACTGCATCTACAATCCAAGAAGTTATCGCAATAAAAACCGAAAGAACTGTGGATGCTGTAAATCAGGAACAAAAACAAAGTTGCTGGAAAAGCTCAGCAGGTCTGGCAGCATCTGTGAAGGAAAAAACAGAGTTAACGTTTTGGGTCTGGTGACCCTTCCTCAGAAGTTATCGCAATGTTCAGTTGCTAAGAAAGAACAAGATAACTGAAAAAGGAATTACCTTAACAAAGGCAACAATTTTCAGAGAAATTGTTGCTAGGTATAAAGAATTCATTACAAAATCCATAAGGTTCCACCAGTCGTGTATGTAGTCCTGAAGTCCACCATCCCACATTTGTTTTACTTCACCCCAAATGAAACCTGTGGCCAAAGGGAAAGAAAAGCATCTGAAAGTGTAAGTTCTGAGCTGTGAATGACCCAGCTTGCTGTCCCTTAATTAACTGACTCAAATTCATACTCCTGCATCTGTTTATCCTTCTGTCTGCTTGAAATTTCTCAGATTATGAGAAAGTAACAGAAAAATATTAGTTTTCAGTTAAAGTAATTTAGTTCTGAAGGGTTTATTTCAGAATAATAAGCAATAAATCTAAAATAATGGACTGGTTAAAAAATCAAATACACATTACACAAGTGCATAAGGGTGGTCTGCTTCTGCTAATAATTTTAAGAATAATGGGTAGATGTTGGTCTTTAATGTCTGCTCATAATCTGGCAGAGAAAGCTTCCTATCCACCATAAAATCCATCTGGTTTACATTCCACTGAAAGCGATGAAACGAAAATCAGGTGCATCCTATAAACAGGTGGTTGCTTCATTCCCCCAGACTACCACCTGTGTGGCAAAGTCAAATTTGATTTCAGCATACATGCTAAAGTTTTGAGTTATGTTATTTAGACAGATTTTAGAAAGACACTGTCTTGCCACAATGTAATAAAAAATAAGCTCCGTTAGGATTTCTATTTGGTGTTTTCTGAACACTGCTATCATTATGCCAATAAAGCAAAATTGCTTTACGAATATACTCCAGTATTAGAATGGAAATGTCCCTTATAACTGACAGAAGTTTCCAACCACCTAATTTGCACACTGGGGAAAGTGTACGTCTATACCACTGAAAAAATCCTTAATATTGAATGATAAATATTGTATAGGACACTAGACAGAAATTCCCATTTCTTAAAATGATTACATAAAACCATTTACATTCACTGGAGAGAAGGCGGAGGCTTCGTATTAGTGTCTCACATGAAAGGCAGGACCTCTGACAGTGCAGCATTTCAGCAGTACTGTGCTGGAATGTCAACTGGGTTTTATGCCTATATTTCGGTTGTCAAACTTGAACCAGCTATCTTATGGTTCAGAGATCCAACAAACCACACGTAACACTAGCAAACAAAGCATCTGCTAATTTAATGGATAGATACATTGCATTTAAGTCAACGTTTCTAACCTAAATGTCTGTGATACAGGGAATGGAGTGATGTATGTGACAAGTCTCATCCTTCCAACTACAGGTTACCAACAAATCTGTACAATGGTCTTGATGCAATGGGGTAATATTTCCAAGTGCATGTGGGCAGTGTACATACAGTGAAGACTATGGATGGAAAGCGTGAATTTCCTGATTATATAATAGCAAAGGAAGTGAACGTAAGAATTTCACCATGAATAAAGATACTATTGTCAAGAGAAAAAGTGCATGTATACAAAGAGCTTTTTGAATAACGACAGACTTCCTGATAATGGTCTCATCATTGGGTGGGGGTGGAGGGTTAATGCATAATCAGAGCATCTTTATAAATGGAGATTTTATTTTTCACTTAAGATTAGGAAAAGCAGAACAGCTCATATGGTAAATGCTGAGGTTTTAAAGAAAATAAATATAGATTAGTTTTTTTACAACCAAAATCTAATTTTTAGAACCTACAAACAGCAGAAGGGAGAATCACAAACTGAAATTTCAAATTGAAGTGAGGCAACTTTACAAAAATGGGCAATTAATTAGCAGTTGTGAACAGAGTTGAATGTTTAATGGGTAAATCTACATACAAGCAGTGGGAAATATTCAAACAAGTTTTTGATAAAACCAGTGCATACCCCTAAAAGGCATAGGCTCCACTTGTGTAATTAAGCAACCACAACAAACAAGAAGCTGAACTAAAAGACTTACACAAAAGCAAGGAGAAGTGAAAATTAATTGGCTGGGACAGCTATAAGAAGCAACAATGGGTACAACAAAAGTAATAAATGGTGCAAAAGAGGAAATACTAAAATAAATTGTACCAGGCATAGCTACAGCAAATTATTTCCGAAATATATTAGGAGAAAGAATATGGTGAAGGAGAATGGGAAGTAAAGGGTGGTTACAGCAAAGATTATGAAGGACAATGTGAAATGGCAGATGAGTATCTTGTATCCGTTTTCACAGTGAAGGAATAAGACAAAATACCAGCAGTACAAGGGAACATAAAAATAAGTCAAGGGAGGAACTTTGTGCATTTAATGTAGATAATTAAATAAATGGTAATGTAGAAAATAATGGGATTTGAGACAGATAACTCCAGCATCTGATAGTTTCTGCCCCAAAGTATTAAAAGAAATATGCTTGGTAATTGAATGTAATAATCTTACTTTTACAAAGCATACTAGATTCAGGAATTATGCATTTGGATTAAAAACTCAGAAATGTCAATCCATACCTAAGGGGAAAAAAGTAATTGCTACTTTAACATTAGTTGTGGGGAAATTACAGGAATCTATCAACAGAGAAATAGAGGACAGTAGTTAATGGAGGTGGCACTGGTCTCAATGACTAGCTGGAGAGACATCAAGAACCCGCTACACTTCTTTTTGGGAAGGTCAGTTGTTAAGTACCAATCAGGCATTTAATTGGATAGTGGCAGGCTCTCTCAGGAATCAGGCCTTCCCAGTGACAGAAGAACAATCTGCCAAGAACAGTCATTGGGAGGTTGGCAGCTTTATTGAATAGTAGTGCCACCAGGGAAGTGGTGTCTATGCTGGTACGACATCCAGCATCATTGCTGGATTTCAGGTCACAGGTAAGTGATTTAATAAAACCATGAGATTATCAACAAGAATGGAAGTGCACAGAATTAGAAAGCAATGGTGTGACATGAGTTATTATTAGCTTGGAGGGAGGGGACAGAGATGAAGGAAGAAGGGATGTACTCTGATTGGTTGGATGTGACATGTGACATTCCTTAGGGATTTGCACTGGACTTTATCACAATTACGTATCGATGATTTACATTAAGGAATAAAGTGTAATATATACAACTTTAGAGCTGTCACTAATTTGGCGAATATACTATATTACCTGGATGAGAGAAGAAAGCTACAAAGTGACACAGGCAGATGACATGATAGACAAAAGTATGGGGCATCCATAAAGCAACAATTAGCATTGCTTACCTTGTTACAAAACATTAGTGCCTGAACATGACTTGTATTACAATCTTAGAAATTACTCAGTGGGAACAGTGTATAAGTATGTATTGCAGTCATGTAAAATTTAGGTATATTATTTTTCTAGCTGTACTAATAGAATTAAAATAGTGTTAACAGGTTAATAATTTATATCAAGAAAATATCAGAAAAAGGGTTTTCATATGAAAATAGTAAGCTTTGTGTACAAATGTTACACAGAATTATTTCTAAGCCTCTGCTGATAAAGTATCAAAAAGCATCTGCGCCTATAAATATTGCTGCACTTAATTTTCCTGAAATTGGTCATCATTCCAGGTCCCTGATACTGCAATCAGGAAGCAGACATTGAAAGTGTTGGAGAAATTCAGCATATGTGGCAGAATCCGTAGAGAGAGAAACAGAGTTCTGAGACTGAAGTACATAGTGAAGAGTCATTATCAAACCTTAACTCTGTTTCTCTCTCTACAGATATTGCCAGGCTCGCTGAGTTTTTCCAGCACTTTCTATTTGTTTCAGAATTCTATCACCCACATTATTTTGTTCTTATTTGAGTGCTTAGATGCAACTTCATTGGGAAAGGAATACCAAGCATTCAGCATTCATGCCTGAAATACATTTTTTTGTCCTTTTACATAAGCAAGTAAGAGGTTTAATGCCTGCTTGAGGCTCATACTTCAAATCTGACCTCCCTGAAACAGCCCACATAGTGTGACGTAGCTACACCTGGTTAAGTTAGACCTCAGAACTACCTGCTAATAATACAGGAAGTTTTTCACTTCTGGCCTGCCAGTAGACCTGAAAGGAGCAGTGATTTTCCTGACAGCAGATTAAACAAAAAGTTGAAACTGCTCCTGACAGTCCCCCAGACTGTCATCATTTCTGACCTTACACATGACTGCTCCCTCTCTTCCAGCCTTCCGTCCTGACTGCAATACCCTTTCTTCAGCTGCTGAATCCCTCCTTGCAACTCTATTCCCCCTCTGCACTTCCACCCACCCCAGCTCTGATTCATTCCATCCCCTGGGCTTTAACCTTTCCACCAGTCTCAGGCCTTCAGTTAGCGAGAGCCTTCCCTTCACTTATTTAAGAACTGCTGCAATGTAAAGGTTGCTTAATCTTGGTCTTCTTTCTGACTGGCTATTCTTACCTTGCGATATGCATTGAAAAATGAGTAAAGACCCACTATCAGGTACATCTCGAGCCTCACTATTCAGCTGCAATGCCTAAAAATAAGCATCTGTAAATTTCCAGACACTGGTTTAAACCACAGAACAGATTACATCGTGTATGACAAATTATAGAAATGAAATGAGAAAATAAAGCTATAAATAAAGCTGCTTGTGGTACAGCTTTAACTTATTGCCTTTTAAAGGGCAATTTTTAAATGCATGGCAGGTGATAAATTTCAATTTCCTAGCATGAAATCTATCAATACAACCACAGTTTGCATCCAGCATTTCAATAATTTAACTTTCCGCAATTCGGTTGTGGCATTTAATGCTAATGTCTATCCCTCATAATATTTGCAACCTGCAGTGCTCTGTTCTGTGCCTTAAATTGATCTATTCTCTGTAGTGAAAAATTCTGGAAAATTGGAATGTATAACATGTGACTTGGGTCTAAGGAACCTAAAATTTACACTTTCAAAGCTTTTGTTCAATCTATTCATTTTTACTGCTGAACTACATAGAAAGTTGAAGCAAGCTGTAATGGTGCTTAACTTTAACAAATGCCACAAACCAATTCTAAATTTTCACCCTTCTTCCAGGTTTCTATCTTTTTTCTTTCTTCCACTAGCCAAACAAAAATATCTTTCCAAGTCAATTTACAGATTTTCAGCATTCAATTTTCTCCTTTCCTCTTTTGAAATTGTTAATTTACCAAAGTGGATATTCTCCATACATAGACCTAAT